TTAGCTTATGAATGGAAGCCTAATGGAGACACAAAGCCACTGACAGGAAAGGTTGACAGAGCCCTGAGAGATTCAATATGGTGCCACATATCATTCTTTAATCTTAACTGTGACATGGCATCTCAAAGAACCATTGGAGACAAAGACTTCTCAATGGGAGGCACTCATACAATTGCTGTTGTTAACCACCTCCTGAAAACTGGGTGAAAAGGAAAAAAATTAAGTTTAGAAAGGTAAAATGATCTGCCACAGGTCTCACAAGAGGTCAAGATGAGGAGCAGAAAAGGAAGTCAAGCATTCTGCTTGTTGGCCTTGCTCCTCAGCCCAACACTGCACCATCTCTCCCCTTGTCAAAGTCTGGGAATACAGAAAATACACATAAGAAAACCACATATCCTGAATTATCATCTGCGAGATAAATCAAGGTCCCTTTACTGCACAAACTGAGTATTTCCAACAGGACCATTTCAGCACCTCTCTTCTCCCCATGTGCATTCCTACAGCACACTGGAACTACAAAAGGAGACTGCTACATTATTCAATACATAAAACTGGTAGTTCCTTTGGTAGCTCTGAGCTACGGTAAAATACTAGTGAGAGTTTGTTCCCACCAGCCAGGGAAACTCTGCTGTGAGGAGTGACTCAGCTGGGATATAGTCCAGAAGGCAACAGGAGATGAGGGGCCCCGATGGCACTTTTCCAGTCTTAATCAACACTGTCTACATGGTGATAGAGACTGATAAGCTGCCAGAAGTCATTTCTTTCTGTGAGACTTGAAACAGTGGTCCAGAACAGTTGTGATCTTTGTGTGTGTGTATTTTGTCGGGGTTTTTTTAAATGCAAAATCAAGGGCTGTAATTTCCCATGGCGGCAAACAAACAATTCTGATAGTTTCATTCTAATCTCCTATAAGTATCCATTTCTCCTCTCTCAACCTTAACCAATTTCCACTCCACAAAGTATTATTTTTTTCAACAAATCAGACATGCCTGTCTACAATAGCACATTTATCAACAGGGAGGGCTGTGATAGAGAGAAACTATCCCTCCTGCAGAGTGCATAACACATTTGGGAATCCTTTCTAATAAAAAGGGATTTGATTAAAGACAGCCAACTACCACAGATCAGCAACTGAATCAGCAGTAAAGAAAGAAGAGCAGCTTAGACTTAAAAGACTTCAATCTGCTGATCTGCCAAGGACTTCCCAGGAGAAGTCACTCCATAAGTCACTCCAGAATCTACAGGAGGGTAGGGGGGGACATACATCAAGGATTGGGGTGCTTAGACTTACTATAGTAGTCTGGCCTTAACGAAATCAGGTTAGGTAGAATACGCGACATGAATGTTTAATTCCTATTAACGTACAGTGATTTTTTTTAATTATTATGCTTAGTGATGATACCTCCATGCTTAAGCACTGCCTTGCCAATGGCAGTTAGAGTATTTCCCAGTGGCTGGATTGTGCTGCTGCAACAAGCCTAGGCAACAGAGCTGTCAACTGTGATCTTGCTGCTCTGAAGTGTGTCTCCAGCATGCTGCTTCTGGCTCCCACCATGTGCCCCGGCTCCCTGGGAAGGCAGTGTGATCCATGCCATGCTGCCAGCTGTGTATTTCCATGAACAACAGTTGCCTAGAACAGTTCCCCCAGCCTTGAAACCACCTTCAGTAATTTGTACCCAGGGAAGCTGCAGAGAGGTGCAGTGAGCACAGACTGGATGGAAGCGCTGGCTGTCCTGCTCCTGAGCTCAGCTCACTTGGTCTGCCAGCATGACCAGCCAGCATTTCCAGGGCAAAGAAACAACTTCAGTGACTCCTAGTCCTCTTCCCTCCCAAGGAACCTCCACTCTGCCCACTACTGGGCAGATTCTGCTGACTCCAGAATCAAGATGGCTTGACTGAAAACCAGAGATACAGCAAGTGAAACCGCAGAAGGAAAATGGTTAAGAAAAAGATTCCAGAGTGCTGACGGGCCAAGTAAAATGACCTTTCTCCAGCCTGACAGTTCAAATGTAATTATTCCAACAAATTATTTTTATGACTTAATATAACGCCTTGCAGCTTTCTAGCAAGGTTAATTAGATTCCTCAATTCAAAACCTATCTGCACTTAACCAACTTTTAATATGCTGAAATCCAGTTTTCTAAATTCAAACTAATAAAAGTGATTAGCTGACAGCTATCTGGTATGCTACAATTACCATGGCAGTTAGACCTCAGGCATAAGATATTTAATGCAAATCAGAGTCAATGTCTCTGCCCATTTGTCCTTTTTCTGATTATTTGATCAATGTGCCATATGAATCCTGTACAGTCCACACTACCATGCTAAACAAATACAGCACAAGGGCAGGGATATTATTTGAGACAGTTAACCAAAGTTGAAAGACTCTTTTTTTCCTCCCACACTTAATTTGTTCTTTCCACATGAGCACGAAGTTACTGAAAGACACTGGCTGACAGCTCGAGTAGAGATGGGTATTGAGTTCTGACACAGCCAGAATTAGTACAGAACTCCCGGCCTGCACTGCCATATCAAAGGGCTTCATCTACTGTGACCATCTTCCCCCAGGGAGGAGCTTGGGCTGGAACAAACCTAGGAGGATGACGGCAGCCTACCACTTTGATGGTATCCAACCATAAAAATCCAGCATTACGTATCTTGTTAGATAGATAATGCTCCTAAATGGCTGTGTGGGGCATAGCATGCTTAGAAAGCTGAGGAGATGATCAGCCCAACACATGGTTCTTCTGCACATCAGGAATGTCGAGGCTGGATACTGCTTCAGAGATGAACTTCAGTAGCATACACTCAGTGCAATTAGAAAAGCAATCAGGCGCAGTTGGTAATCACACATCACCTGCCCAAGGCAGGACTAAGGTTGTTTGATTTGCATCTTCCATCTTGCATCATGAATGATCATTCCATCTTTGATCATGCCACCACTTAAACTCTGGCAAAACTTGTGAATGCTCTGAAGCCTCCTTTCCATTTTGTTGTCTCCTGGTGAATTAAGAGCTATTGGCATGGCATTGTTCTGACCTCTCATCTGATAGCCAAATCGATGACCTCACATTGAGAGACTTTATGTTCCAACCATTTGAGCTATGCTTCCCTTTTGGATGAAGAAACTTTGATGTACCACCCTCTCAAACAGAGCAGAGCCATCTTAGGCATACAGTATTAGTCTGCAAAACCCGAGCTTTTCAGCTTCATAAATACAAGTGCTAAACAAAACTAAAGCTTCACTTCAGGAAGCAATTTCCGAGCTGTGAGGAAAATTAATCACTAGAACAGCTTATCAGGGTAGGTGGTTGACTCACCATTGCTCGAAGTCTTTAAGATAAGATTAGATTTTTATTTTTTTTTTAAGTCATGATTCAATCATGTTTCTGGGACAAACTGAGAGTAAGACATTAGGCAGTATAATGGAAAGGTCCTTTCTGACCTTGAAGCCTGTGCATCTCCAAGTTCTTTGTTCATCTGCCTACCTTCCTGGGCTAAAACGTAAACTGGATGGGCTCTAGTCCATCTACCAACTCCTGCCACACAGTTCTGCATTAAGAAAATTACTATAATCAAATCTCATGCTTCAGGGCTTCAGCCATTTGCCTAAAGGGAGCAGGAAAGAAGTTTCTCCCTCCTGCCTGCCCAGTTAATAGCTAAATGTTATGTTTATCTGGTTGTTGCTTCATGTTTAAAACATCAGAGAGTGAACCCAAATGGCTATGGGCAGAGATGAAGTCAAACTCATCAACACAGAAAATGCTCTCTGGCTATTCTCTATTCAATTAGTTATTCCTGCTCACACCTCAGATCAGTGATAGTCATCAACTCTGATGACTACTCATGTTGACAGAGAAGACATTTTGTTTGTGAGGGTGGAGACCACAGAAGGTAGAAGGCACTGATGGACAATGGGGACTGATATCAACTCCATCTACAAGGGCAATGTTTGTTTGATGAGAACATCTTAACCTGCTCGTGTTATCAGATTCTTGCCACTGCAAGATCCTCGTTTATTAGTTAAACCTTGGTCCCACCTGCTTTTGGATTAAACCTGACCACAAAAGTTTCTTTAAGCCAGAAATGTTCTGGTCCATTCAAACTCTACAGCAAATAGAGCTAGGGAGCAATCTAAATGAAATTTTGAAGAAATTATAAAATAAAGGAAGATAAAGAACACAAAATGAATGGCTTGCCCCAGTATTTAACTTTACAAACTGTAGCAGTTTGTTTCCTAACAACACTATTACCCAAGCCTGTAAGAAACTAAACATACAGGCAGATGCATCAAATGTGCCCAAGACTCTCAACTTTAATGCAGAGTTCAGCCCCCATATCACCTATGCTTCATATAAAGGCAAGATATACATTCTATGCCTACAGCTGCCTAAGATAATTCTGTTCTACATCACTTAAGAAGGAAATTGGACAATTATCTTTTTCCAGGCAAGGAAGATGATAAGGTTATAAGTGAATCAGTTCAGATTTGTCTTCCTTGTGCTCGTTAGACCCAGTTCTGGGCTAATAGGTCCCCATGTATAACCACCCTGATTGACTCAAACTGGATTTCCTTTTTATCTGTGCCAGCACACAGAAAATGAAAATCCATGCCTCAGAAGTAGAACACATTTACACTTCCAGGTTTTTCGCAGCTGCAATGAGAAGGGAGCAATGGGGCAGGCAGGCAAGACAGCACACCACACCTGAGTTCAGACAGGTAGCCAAGAAGCTGGGGACAGATGGTGTGAAAATGAACCAGACACTGAAAAATTCAACTTTAAAACCAGAAAGATTACAAACATACAGTGAGTGAGCATGAGATTTATGCTGAAATTACAGAGGAATTCCTATGGTTGATTACACTTCCAGCCCAAGCGTGGAAAGCACATCCATCAATACGAGTGTCACTACGTTACCAGTGCAGCTGCCAGAGGCCTCCCCGTCACTGCACCCGCTAAATACGGAAGAGAGCTACAGACACTTGTGACATGGCTCACCAAAGTAGTCATCAGAGGGAGGATTCTCCATGTCATACAGCATTTTCTTGGTCAGATGTTCCAGCTCATCCTCAGGCCTGAAGGAAGGAGTGCTTGATGCAGGTCCAGAGCTTGGATATCCACTCTGGAAAAAAAGCACAGTCTGTGATGTGATGTGATATAAAAGCATTCACACACAGTAAGAGGGTCTGTTGGCTGTTCAGTGTTGAACTTCATTCTTTGTCTTGTTTTTGCTTTTTTTAAAACCCAAGGGATTCAAGCAAGTAAACATCTCAACGTAATGAAAATGGACTCTGAAAAACATCCAGTGAAGTGCTATATAACCTCCTAGAATGAGAAGTATTCTCTGCCTCATAATTAGGTGTCTACTGGGTAGTACACAATAATAAATAAAGAAGAAAATTATTTCAAGGATAACTTGATACAAACCTTTCCAACACTAAAAAAGGCTTTGGAAGTATTTAAGTTTGGACTTAAAAGCTTTCATCACTTAACAACTCAACATAAAAGATGCTAGAACAATCATTCCTACAGTGGTAGAGTATATGGACAGAAACAGATATTCCAAAGATGCTAGTTATGTTTTCTTGTCTGTTTTGACAGAAATCTTACTGTTAACATAAGTGAGATCAGGAGCTGGTCCACAGATTTTTAGTATTAGGGATGAAAATGTTTTAGTATGGACATAGAAACTGGGTTCTCTTGGCCTTCATATGCTAACAGCTGCATACAGTATTTGCAGTCTGTTTCAGAGCATCTTTTCCCTGGAAAACACCAGAATTATGGGCATATTTTGAGAAGCACAGACTTAGTCTTATGCCTAGAAGTTTCTTAGAAGAAGCTAAGTTTAGTGTCCATAATAAGAAACTCGGTCATTTCAGGATTAAAAAATGCTGACACCAGCTTTCCTTGTGTGCACTGCTTTCTTGAAAGACTTGCATATGAAAACTAACTTATTTATGAAACACAGCATTTCAGTAAAGCAAGTGATTTCATTGATTAATTGCTGCCTTCATCACGGATTGGACTTTTGATATGAAACAAGGAAGCATTTTTCTATGCTCCATACCTACTTACATGGCAAGAAAATGTAAAATCACTGAAGAAACAATACACTGGTCACTTCTATCTGGCTTACAGAGACTACACCTGACATGATGAATCTTTATTGAGCCAGGGATGTTCAACAAAGAACAGCAGGTTTAAAGCACTGCACTGCAAGAGAATTAACTAAATGCTTTGACGCTTTTTTCTTTCAGGCAAGAAGGAGATTTCAAATGAGACATCAATCAATGTAGAGAAGGTCTCAGAACAGCGCTTAGCAATACTACTTCAATCATCCACTCCCAGAAACCAAACTCTTGAATGTTCCTAACCATACTTATTTTCCAGGTCCATACTAAGTTGTACACCATCACCCTCCTCACTTGTTGGCCTGATCTTCCTCATAGTCACTGAGCCCATAAGCACATGCCTGTGCTCCCTGAAAGGGCTGGATTTGCTGTGCACACACGATGCAGAAGTTGCACCTGCTGCCTGCCCGACAACTGCTTTGTAGTGGAATAGCAGAAGTGCACAAGGGAGAGGGGTGGCACAGTCCCCTGGGAAAAAAAGTGTACCTGGAATAAGCCCCAGGCTGGATGAATTTTCATGAAGGGTTGTGTGAGGTCTGTTTGCCATACATGCAGACTCCCTGGCTGAGAATATAGATTGGACCTACTATACATTCAGGTTTTCCCACAGATGTTTCCTTTTTTTGCTTATGATTTTTTTTCTGAACAATATTTAAGGATTTTGTGCATTTCTCTAGGAATTCTAGTTGTCTAGCAGTTGTTCTGAGGAAGCTGTTGAACGTCTGAAAATCCTGAATGTCCACACACAGAGCAATAAACTTCATTGCACAAATGCAACCACACTGATATGTTTGGGTTACCAAAACTTACTTTTTCATGTGGGGAGGCAGGCAGTATGGTGCACAGGAATTATATTTGCTTTCTAAGTCATGTAAGTGCCATCAATGGGATACATAATTTTGGTGGGGATAAGGCCATTCATATGATTAGAAGTTTCAGAGCCAGGTATTTGACCCAGAACATTCAGACTCCCTTTGCCAGTGCTTTGTGGCAGTTTTTTGAAGTCTAGTTTACAACTGCTTCATTAGAATAATAAATAGCATAACCCTAAAAAAAAAGGTTTATTAATAAGCCAATTAAAGGTGTCAAATGTAAAGCATTTAATCTTGGAACAACATATTTTTTCCCTTTGCTCTCTTGTTCCTAAGAGCTGATCATGAATCTTGTCTGAACGTATATTTTAACACAGCAAGTGCAGCCAAGGATTTATTAGCCTAAGAAATCAATCTGACTACTGAGCTTCTCAAAGTATTACTCCAGGTATTGTACCTATTTCAGTTTCCATGCAGAAAGGAATGACCATTGCCATCCCATCAGCAGAGACTCCTTTCCTAGACTTTGCATGGAGAAGACAGTACAGCCCAAAGCTGATGATGGCCCCCATCCCTGTATTTCCCCCATTTGCTCTCTCTGGTTTTGGAGGCCACATTGCCTCACATACACAATAAATAGGCCACTCTCGTGTTTTATCTACATTGCACATTTCCAAACTAGGCAGATTTCTTATCCAGTAGTCAATGTCAGCTAAAATAACAAATACCAACCACAATGTTATGAGACACTTTAACTTATTTTGACTAAAATGCTATGCCTTTTTGACCAGCATTTAAGTAGTGCTAGGCACATATTTTTCCTCCTTGCATGGCACATGCTGACTACGTGCCTCCAGGAAAATGCATTTCATGCATACAAACATGCTGTTGAGTTTGCTGGGACGTGCACGCACACAAACATAGAAAGAAAAGTGTATCTTTAGTCCAATCTAAAATTCTTGTTTCAGCAAAACAGTTTCCTTCCTCCTCCTTTGTTAGGTCAGGGTAAAAATATAACACTGGCTTTCCTTATAAAACAGAGTTGTGGTGTTGTTGTTTATATTAAACTTCCTCTATTTTCTCCTGATCTGTACAATGATCAAGGCTGTCTAGAAATATAATTTGCTGTCTTATCTACCACAGTTACCTTCATGTGTTCTCTTTTCTCCATGATGTCTCAATGCACGCAAATATCCACTTCCTTAGCTAGACACATCTCAAAGATGGGGTCGACACTGAATTGCAACAAATTCCCTGAGCACCACTCTGTCTGGCTAATCACAGAAACATCAGGGATGATAAACTGACCCAGGAAAATGGAAAAGAGCCTTGGTCAGCAAAAAGCTGACAGGAGGGACTATGCTTTGGAAGCACAAGCACCTGAGTCCATCCTCTGCTACTGCCATCAAATACCAAGCAACCTCAGGGAAGAGAAGATTGCAGGAGCAACCTCGGGAAGAGAAGAGGACTGCAGTTGCACGTGCAGATGCAAAAGCATTCCTGAATAAACACTGTCCTGCACACATAGTTAACAGGATATTAAGGAAAATGCCAGCACTCCCAGGGTTAAACTCTGTGGCAGAAAATATCTTCATGCTACAAAGGAAGTGAGCTAATCGCTTGTGCCACTATCAAAGCACTGCAACAACATCTGGCTCATCTTCCTCATTAAAGTTCAGTTCCTAAAAAGCCAGGTCAAAAGAAGCAGTCACGTGGAATCACTGTATAACTATTTTGGTGCACAAAGTTGATACTTGTTTCAGCGCTTCCCTGGCACACGTTTTCTACTCCAGGCCTCACTGGTAATCAGCTGTCTCTGACGTAAGGGCTGCCCAGAGCATTCACCAATGAGAACCTTCCCCATCCACATAAAAATATTTACCCAGAGGGGTAAAAGCCACAGTGCAAAATATGCAAAGACAACTGAAGATGGTGCTTTGATGAATGCACCGTCACTCCAGAAAACACTGTATGTGGTCATTTGTCTTGTCCACTTGGAAATATTGTAGAAGAAGCTTCTTCTCTTTGAGAGAAAATAACTTCAATTACGTGTTCCCAATTACAGAAACATGGAAATTATCTTCTTCACAGAAGGTAGAATTAGTCCAATTTGGAATTGAAAGGCAGCCAGAAACATCTTTTACTGTTAGCAACTTTCCTTTTAATTTTTTTTTCTCCTTGTTTGACTGCATAAAGTTGGACCTTTCCCTTCACTTCATGCACCAAAACTGATCATCAGTTAAATCAATAGTTAAATAGCATCACAGCATATTTTTATTCAATGGTCTGACAAAGACCACACTTCTTCATTTAAATTATTGACCGTCCAAAACAACTGCAAACTTTCAGAGCAAGAAATCCAGCACGGTGCCATGTCTTCCATGAGTCGCGCTCCCAAATAAACATCAAGATTCCCTACAGTTGTATTTCAGTTCATAATTAAGGCCAACTCTTACAGAGGAGACGCAATAGAAAAAAATATTTTAATTCTTGATTTGTTTTCCCAGTGAAAGGTTACAGTTGCCAGAGTACATACAGATTCCTGAAAAGACAGTTCTGCCTGAAATCCCTGCAGCACGCATGTTCCTTGCTTTACTCCTGGTTGAAGAATAACTCATGAAGATCCTTTGAGGAAGCTGCCCTGCATGATGAGATTTCCACTGACAGCCAGTGCCTTCTGGCCCATACCAGCAGCTCAAAATCACAAGTCTTTGGGCTGGCAGGAGAGAAGGCTCCCCTGGGACATGCCAGAATGGGACAAGCCACCGGTTGCCTTGCTGCCCACCTGCCCTGCCATCACTTCCCACAGCAAACCAGCAATCCAGAACGTACAGTTCTGGCAGCAGAGCCCTCATTTGTTAAACACTGCCTTGCTTTGAAGTAGGACAGTTTTGTAACTGCTTCAAAGCTCTAGAGGATATTTTTCTTTATTTTTAAACTTCATTACTGTAACTGTATCCTTACTTAGCTATCTAAGCACACTGACTGTCCTATTCTAATCCTGCTAAGCTCTTAGTTTCAGTGATCTCTTGTGACATTAAGCTACACAGAATTTGAGCAATAACAACAATAAAAATATTTTCCTCTGCTTTAACTTCACAGTCTGCAATTTTGCACAATTGCCTCTTTTTTCTTACACTGTGAAGCTGAGATGCAGACAGGTATGAAGGGGAGGTATC